AATGTAGGAAACTTTGGTAGGAAAATGTTTGTATGGTATCAAGAAAACGAACTTCGTTACTCAAAAAAAAAAAAAAAAAAAAAGAACGTTGCATTTAATTAATTTATGGTTATTTTCAGCTGAGTAAAGTCACAAAGCATTTATATAAAAACGTTTGAATTTTTAAATACTTAAAGGATTTTCCATGCTTAAAATATGTGCTTCGAATGAAACAGTAGTCTACTTGTGAATTGTACTAAAATAAAGTAAGGTACTTGTATTAAAAGAAAGTAAAGATTAATTTAGAATGAATGTAAAGTAAAATGTTAGACTCTCCAGCCAACACTAAGTTAATTTTCGCTAGCGTTAGCACCTCAGGCTGAGATTTGATTCTAGGGTGTCTGTCTTGGTCTAATTGGTTTATCCCTAACAAGTAGATGTGGGGTAGTCGGTAAGGGTTGTACTCATTTTACATAAAGCACGCTCGCATTTGCAGTACGCAATGCTGGAGAGCAACAGGAGTCTTAATGTGGGTAGAAAGATTGAAATGAGTAAATGTACCCCATATAGAAAAGTTTGAACTGTTTTAAAAACGTTGAAAGTGTGGCAGTTTGTAAGTTTGTAAGTTTAAGCACAGTATTAAACTATTTTCTTTCCAGATATCTGAAAGGAAACCTGACAAGAAATGCTAAAGAAGATGTTGTAATTATGTGCCACATTTACCATATAAATAAAAACCTTAAATTTTAGTTAAGATGTAGATTAAGATTGTGAAGGACTCACATATAGATTTTTAGAACTTAAATATCTGATCCAGTCTTTTAAAGCCTTGCTATGCGGTAGTTAAATTCTGGCGAGGGAAGATGTAAGGTTTTCCTCATTTTGCATAACAAATTTAAGTTGGATACATGTACTGAATTTCTCAACTTCTCCTCTCATTTTCTCGTCAGGATGTAAATTTAAAGTTAAATGAAGTGCGTATTTAAGCGGGTGAATCTCCGAGTTTATTCAGTGTTTTCGCTAGTCAGGACTTGTTTAGTTGTTGTTTCGCTGTTACGCTAGTCAGCCTCTTGGCCATTCGGATTATTATCACGCCTGTTAGGTTTTTGTAAGTCAACCTGTTAGGCTTAGCTTACGTGCTATCCAGTACTACTTATTTTAGATTTTTAACTTGAATTATATTCTACGTTTTTAGTTTTACCGCAAGTTAGACGGTGCCATTGTAATGCACGATCGTGCTTTTCTGTTAACTATTTTGAGTTGAATAAAGGGTTGCTTTCAGCCTTCTTCTGTGCTGGTATTTATTCTCGTCTGCGCGAGAATTCGCCCGGTCCACTGTAGGATCTAATTTAGTTTATGTGGAAAAACAGAGAACGACTCTATCCAAGCATATGCAGGAAGCTTGCAGCCATTATTTCTTTAAAACGGCAATATATTTTATTTTATCAGGACATGAAATATACTTGCAGGAAACAATAAACATCTCTTCACAGTATTAAAAAATTCGATTAGATTTAACACGAAGCAATAATAAAGATACTTTTTTGCTTCCTTGTACGAAGTAAAAAGGAAGTATTGTAAATCACGAAAAATTTCGAGTATCATATTTCAACGAAAATATCCATTTTGACCGCTATCGCTATCGAATGCAATTTAAAGATGTTTTTGCGTGACATCTGTACGTAAGGACAGAATAAAGGACTCTTTTTCCCACAAATAAAAATATAAAACTGGTTTAAAATTAATTCTGAAGAGATTTTTCCGTAGCGTCTGTACGTACGTACGTAACTCGCATAACTCAAAAACGAGTAGCCCCAGAACGCTGAAATTTTGTATTTAGGACTGTTATAACATGTAGATGTGCACCTCTCATTTTGGTTGCAATTGGCATACCAAAAGTATAGAAATATATGTATATAGTATATATCCACTCTGTTACTCGGCTCAGTGAACTCAGTTTCTTTATTCGTATATCTGTAAATTGCGTATGTTTTGCTTTAAAAATGATTGAATTACGTTGTTCTTACTCCCGTTTCGGTTTATAGCCTTTAGTAACCCGCTGTTATGTTGAAATTATCAACAATTTAAAATTTTTAAGTGCGGCTGGCCCCCCCTTTTTTCCGTAGCAGCCATATTGTTCATTTGAATCTCGCAAATAGGGATTTGTTGCCAATCTAGACACTAAGCTCAATCAACAAATAACGTCCCTTTTTATATTGATATTTTAAATTATGCTTATCCATTCTGGAATTACATTTAAATTATCCACATATTGACTTAACATCGTCACAACAATTTAGTCAGTTTCACGCCTCATTTTTTTTTGCCGCTGTACCAAAATAACATTCATTTTTTACACCGAAATTCTCCCTTTGCCCGTTGTCGAATGCTTGTTTTTTTGCTAAAACAATTTCATTGTAAAACGTTCTTAACTTGTTTTAAACTGTATTTATGTTTTAATTTTTTCTATATTTTTGAATTTTTAATAAAGATATTTTGAGGTTTCATTTATTTTTGCCTTGTCACGAAGTGAGAACTGAATTAAGTAAATGAGAAATATATCTCTAATGAAATTCGAGGAAATAAGTTCAAACGAAATGCAGGAAAAAATGAATATAATTTAATATTCTGTATAAGGAAGTTATGCGGTGTACACATCAGATTTTTTAAATGTAAATAATTCGAAATTTTGAAGTTTTTGATATAATAACTAAGCATTTATTTATTTATCTTGGTGATGAACTCGATAATGTGATATTGGTTTAAACTGCAATGGTTTTGTGAAGTATATTGTGCAATGAATAATTCCTTTAACTCAGTTTTACCTAAAGTAATAATTGATAACTTTTCCATCAGTGAGTTGCTAAATGTAAATACTTATCACAAATATAGATAACGTTTTTTAAGAAATTCTGTTCTCAAAATTTAATTAGCTTTAATTTAATTTTAAATGCTAATTAAATTTCAAGTTTAAAATTTAATTAGCCTTAATTAAGTTTTAACTACTATGAGAAAAAAATGATGTACCTTATCTCCATATATTCTGCATACCGAGCGCAAATTTAATAGGTTACGAATCTAATCTTTCCAAATATCTTTTGCAGAATTCCTGGTAATTTATGGAACCTGATTTCTTAAAAGCAAATTTGTGATAATTCAGAGTAACAGCTGCAATAAAATTAAATGATATAATTGGATTTGCATAGAGGATGAATCTAATTAAGTAGTGTAAGGTATCCGTATATATAAGTATAGGTAAAGCAACAAAGCAGTGACTTCTTCACGCGGAGGGGGGGGGGCGTTGTTACTAGAGAATCCCACTGTTGAAGCTTTGCTCCCTCTATACAAGTCCGGTTAATTATACTAGCGCATTGCCCACATAAGATCTCTGAAAATTCATTATAGTGCACTTGCTGCGGTATACAACCGAAAATCGTCTTTTGTGAATCACAAGAGTTTGGATATCATTAGTTCGCAACAGCCGCACAAATTGTGATATTATTGAGAAGATTTGTTTCAAGAGTATTGAAATTATATTCAAAGTCTTTAAGGAAGCAAGTGCGAGCAAATGGCTTAGATACACCATAGATCACGCTTAAAGTATACATTTAATCTAAATGCCTTGTAATTTTGCATTATACCCTCCCTTTATACAGTTCTACGGCAGAAGTTTCGAGAATATTTTAGTGAAGAGGCTTTTCAAATGGTTTTGAAATGTCCAGAATTTTTCTTGGTCACTGTACAGTTAATTCTAGATATAAAATGTTCTAAGCATATTTCTATTCCGTTTTGTTCTGTTCTGTTAGTCAATATCATTTCTATTATAGCTGCAACATACAGCAATTTTAGTATGGAAACTTTGCAATGTCACAAACAAAACATATTAGTTTTATCAAACCTGGGATATTTGTCTTTTGTTTATAACGATATTATAAACAAAAGACAAATATCTCAAATTTTTTTCGCAATTATTATTATCTTTCTAGCTCTAAGAATAAATAATACATGTAGTATTTGATGATTTAGACAGCACTTGAATGTATCATATAGCTTACGTAATTTATAAAGTATATAAAGTTTTTTTTTTTTTTTTTTTTTTTGTTAACTGCAATATTTCTTTATTTCAGAATGCAAATAAGCAATTCGATACTACTGAATGCTTTGATTTCTTCATCATATTTGATGCGATACTATAAAAACAAGATATATCGCACATAAATAGTACATTGAAAATTCCTTTTCGAACATGATATGTTACATTATTTCCTGCATACATAATGATCAGCGAGAATTCAGGAAGAATTTTATACAACTGATTACTTAAATCACTTTGACAAGCTATATTCATCGTTTGTGATAGACATTTAAGGAAAAGATATACCCAAATATATGTTCTCTGCTGTTGCTGTAATATGCTTGCTTTATGCATATATAGTCTATGTCTTTATGTATGCCTAATATGCGAATAAAGTCATGTAATTTAAATCAGTTCCTAAGCTTCTAAAGTTATTTAAATTTTTTTAGAAGTCTAGAAGCCGGAGGTATCAGCTATGCCCTCGCCAAGATTCAAACTCCAGAACTTTTTACTGTTAGCCGGACGTCCTACCACTGATGCCACAAAGGAATCCTAGGCGAAAATTCTTTATCATATGGAATTAAGCTGTAGAACTGATCTCTCAACTTATTTAACAGCATGGTATGGTGAAAGCTAAATTACAAAGTGTCGTTTGAATTTCGAGTTCATTAAAAATATTAAAGATCTACCCCCCCCCCCAAAAAAATCTTCGACTTAATCAGAGTCTTGGCTGCATTTGATCGCTTAAATATGAGATTTGTAGCAGTTTTTCTTCCGATTTGATGCAGATGATGGATTCGGTTTCTCAAACGTTTATAGGTAAGAAACAGAGAAGAGGACAAAATGATCACTCCCTCATCTTAATGTTTCACATGAACGAACAAAATGATGTTTATTTTGCAATTCGAAGAAGAATTAGCATTAAGTGTCATACATTACAACTTACTGGTCGAAATTCTTCCCCATCCTGCTGTAGTAAGGACAGAGCCTGGTGGATACTTTGCATCGGATCGCGGCAAGCATATGGGACGGTACATGCTAGGAACTTTGGATACTTTCAACTTTAGGAGAGCCATATCGTTGTTGTATGGAGTAGGTTTGCCATACTGTGGGTGGTGATAGACAGTTTCAACTCCATATCTTCTGGAAGTTTGTTCTCTTTTAGAAATTGTATGTTTGCCCAAGAAGACGTCTAATACTTCTGGATACCATTCTATCCTAAAAAATATCGTTGATTATAAGAATCAAAATAATACAAAATTGTAGTTCTCAGAATCTAAACAAATAATCAATTATATTTGAAAAAAAAAGTTAATTCCCAAAATATGATATACTGTTATTTTACATGAAATCTTTGGTGATTTTTTGTAAATACTGAAAAGTTAAAAAAAATGTAAAACACATTCCCTCAAAAAAATGACGTGGAAAAATCTTGCTATCAAGCGTACACACAGTAACGTTAATAATATCTAGAGCGCAGAAATTCGACGAAAATTTGTAAAACTTACTGATACCATTTTGCAGCAAAATCCTCCTTATTGAAATGGCAGATGCATTGTACTACTATAAATTAGAGCAGCGGTCGCCAACCTTTAGAACTTCTTGAACCACTAAATGCATTAATTTCTCATTTGGCGGACCACTAATATGAGTTTAGAAAAAAACGGTAAATACATTTATATAATAATAATCAGAAAACTGTTATTTTATTAATGTGAAATGCAGCATTAAAGGTAACAGAGCTATAGAGTAATTATTTAAAGAAATGAAAAATTTAGGTTTATTTAAATATTACACATTTTTAGTGTGATATTTGTTCCTGTTTGTTTGAAATCAGTTTGTGAATTTTTGGTTCTAGTGATATTACTGCAAGACGAAAAGCCAGATTTAGACGAAGAGCCGAGACCTGTACCGAGTTTTAACAGCTGTTAAAGAAGAAAATGTCTTTTCCACAAATATATTGCTGAAAATTGAATTAAAATGTTCATAGCTTTTTCACTCTGTGATAGGTATTCATTTTTTATAGAGAGGCAATAATGAAGTCTTCATAAAGAGGACTAGAATTAAGTTTTTAAACTGTCTCGCAAGACAGATCTATCTGGCTTTCTTTTTCATTCATGCTTAATTTGCTATCTTCAATGTTTCCTGAAAATGAATCTCTATTATCCACATATTTTCATACATAGGATCTTCCAGCTTCAAGTAATAATAAAATCCAAAACACTTTGTCAGTGACTGGAAGTGCTGTTGAATAATGGATACCACTTGCTGGTTGAGATCGTTCTGTCCCATATTTTTATTAAAATTTATAAGCATTTGTAGATTTCCTTCTACAGCGTTTGTCACAGTGATATTTTTTGAAAAGCATCTATTTTACTCGTACTGTAAACACGCACCTAAGTTGTCTTTGCATATGTTTAGTTCGGTTAACAGCGGAAACCATCTGCCAGGTATGCAAGCTTGGCTACCCACTCAAATCGTCGGACAAGAGTTCTTGAAATTCCGGATTATTTTGCTGCTGAAAAATAATTCGATTTCATCGCGCAGGACGAACAGTCATGTCAGTATTTTGCCCCTCGAAAGCCATCTCACCTCAGTGTGAAGATAAAGGTGAGTATACTGGGAACCCATTTCTTCACAAAGTGTTTCAATAACCGAGAATTAAGCACTTTGTGTCGAATTTCATTTGTGATATTAATAACATCTGCTAATACTTGGTGTAGTTCTGGGGACATACTGTTTCACCACAAGATGCTAACTATGTGTAGACAGAAAGTCTAGGTGACTAACATCTTTCATCTTCGCAATAACTCCTGAGGGATGTCCAGTCATGTTTTTCAATTTTGGGCTTAACAGTTTTAGCAGACTTATTACTTTCAGTTTCTGTACAGCTTTTTTCCCAAAATCTCTTCATAGGCTTACACTACGCAATGCTTGAATAATTCTTCTTCGATCGTATATAGTATTTTAAGTGCTATGAGATAAAAAGCCTTTGTTAGAGACTTATCTTAAACAACCATATTTTTAAGGTACCTACTTATTTTTGCATACGAGTATTTTCACACATTTTTCGAAAATATTCAAGTAGTTTCTTAGCTAAATCTGGGTGTTTTGATTTCAAGTGTCTTTCGAGTTTTGAAGGTTTCCTGGCAGCATTAGATAAACTGTGAGAACAGATAATACCAAAAGGCAGTTGATTTAGCTAACTACCGGGTTCTGGAATAAGTCCAAATTTCAATTAGTCCGAATTACATATTCTTGTTATTTTGGGTTTTATTCTTTGCGCCTCCAGTTTGAACGTTCTTTCTTATGCTGTCTGATTGTGACGAGGAATATGGATGCTTTGATTCATTGATCACCTCTTTGTTAGATGAAGTAATACTATTTTCATTAGTTAATCTATCTTGAGTTTTACTAAAGAAATGAAAAATATTCGCTTGCTTCTTCTCACTCATTATACATCTATTAGCTATTTTATTTGAATCTGAAAACCATAAAAATTAAAGAAAATCATTAATGAATGAAAAATGTCCGTAACAAATGCATAAATTATGTCCGTACAAACGCATAAATTAGTTTTCTGTGGACAATCAAAAATTTTCCACGGACCACCACCGGTTGGCGACCGCGGATTTAGAGGGTACTTATATTCCACTGTCTTAGTGGAGAGGATGTTTTTATGGCCTTCTGCAGAAAAGCCAGGTTACTGGAATATTTGTTTTCTATAAGCTAATAATAAATCTGTTTTTATATGATCGCCAAAAAATGCAATATAGATTTAGATAAATTAAGAAAAGTTTTAAATCATGTAAACTAATTATGTTTGTCAAGACTAGGCGCAAAACTTAGAAAACTAGGAACATTTTGTATTGGCTCATCCAAGGCAATTTAAAAGTATTTTAATCAGCGCTTAATTTCTAAAATTAGAAGTGCCAGAGCCATATAAAAAAAAATGTCAAGAAAGAAGAACCAAGGAAAAAAAAAAAACTGACAGGTTTCAGGTTTTAAATTACGTCCAAAGGGGCTTTTTTTAACGTTTTGTGTGTTACCTTTACTATAAAATTCAGTTCAACAGCAATATCACGAATTAATTTTAAAATGAGCATAGCCTTAAGAATTTCCGATACAGAGTCTCGCTCGTTGGAGATAATTTTTTATAGTGTTGCCCATGCTCGATTGAAATCGTTTATTTAAACAAAATTCCGTGGTTTTACAACTGGAATCGATAATAAAAAAATTTCAAATTTCAAATTAGGCTTATCCACAATGCCCTATTCTATTGAAATACACGTTATTCAATTTTTATGGCTCTAGGTTTTATCACAGTGCGAGAAACGTAAAATATACATTTAGGCAGATTCTTCATTATTTTAATTCTTTAAGACCAGGCGAATATATGTGCAAACGATTTGAAAGTGTTACTGTACTGCCTTTTACAGTTTCGACGAAATGCCAAAACGAATTACTAGTCCCTTCAGGCAATTGCCCTTTGGACTAATAAAGAATTATCATGAAAGCTTTCAGAGTTTTACTTACGTTACGCCCAAAGGGGCGTTTCTTCTTTACGCTTGGTTTACCTTTATTTTATTGGCGATGGTTCCTAAAAACCACCCATTTCCCATTCGCCTTTAAAAGGTAATAAATAAGGTTATTCTCTACTTTCCTAGCGTTCCTTCGTAGGTGTAGTTGTTCTGTCTTGCACGCTGGGCCGCTATTCCAGATGTCCGTGGTTCGTTTCCCGGCGAAGGCGATTGCTAATTTTTCCTCTCTCCGGCTTTTCCAATTAACCTAATGTCTCTACAATATAAATAACCAAGTCAGTGAAAGACATAAACTGATGTCAGCTTTCTTAATCAAGCATATATTGATCAGGGACACTTCGATCTAACTATTATTTAAGATTCACTTCAAAATCACGTAAATGTGCTTGAGAGAAAAATGACGCTAATTTAATACACATATTCATTAGCTGCATAACTTTTAAAGAACATGAGTGAAAATTTGATTCCCAGTATAAAAAATATAAGGATAATACTTCTCTCAGAGCACGAAATATCCCGAAATTACACTGCTCGCCATTAAAATTGCAACATCACGTAGGAATGATGCGACGAACGTCAAAATTACATGAAAGCAAGAAGAGGTTGGGATATGCAAATGATTAGTATTTCAGCGCATTTAGACGACGCAGAAGGGAGAAGGGAGAAACGACATTTAAAGCGATTCATAAAAGAAAACACACTCAGTACCCGCTTTGTACTGTGATCAACGTTTGCAGCAGCGTGAACTATCAGCATGGCGACCATTACTTCAGCTTCCCTTGTCAATGCAACATAGAAAGAAATGGCGACTCTGGTGCGCCGAATGACAGAGCTGGATGCAGGAGTGGCAAATATTGTCTTTTTAAACAAGTCTCTGTTCTGCGTGCAGTATTCTTATAGCCGTATATGTGTCTGGAGGCTCCGAGGAGACCGCACGTCACCTACTTGCATTCGATGCTGGCATAGCGGCCCTGCCCTAGTTGGTGATATTTTTGGTCATCCATTGGTACACGACATGCACTTCTCTATTTCGGACGATGTAATTTGAACGCAGATGTACATTTCTGACATCCTTGTTCAGTTGTTATGTCCTGTCTCCGATTTGCCATGTTCCACAAGGCTAATTCCAGACCGCATGATTATGTCGTGTTCTTGACCTTCCTCGATCACAAGGTATTCGACCTGGCCTGCTGCTCTGGCTAGCACGGTGCTCTATATCTGTCCCCACCCATTACAACAGCTGGTCATGGTGCTGAGAGATTGTTGCGCCACATTCACCAGCTAATCCATTTATGAAGTTTGGCCAGACGTGAAGCAGCATGGAATTAATTGCTTGTTTTCTTGGGTCCCCCCCCCCCCATACAAGCCCAGTTCGACACCCTGTCTAACCGGGTAAAGGCCGTTTTAGCTGCCAAAAGTAGCAGCTGTTTCTACTAATTTCGCACCCCTGTAAACCTCCAAATGCTTACAAATTTAATCATTTTGTCTTCATGCTGTATTGTTCACGTACAATAAATAACTTTTCTGTATTTGCCTTCCTTCATGATGCTGCAAATTTAATGACCAGCAGTGTATATATATATATAATTTATGCAAATGAAAAGATATGTTTTAAGGATCCATAACTCAGAACTAACGGACCAACTAAAGCAATTCTTTTCTTTTGTAAATTCTATGTACAATTCAAACCGAGTAGAAAGGGAAAAGGTTTACAGAATTTGTTTACAGAACTTACATGTTTTACAGAATTTGTTTTTTTATCCTGTTTCTAGCGAAAAGAAATATTCATAAGCTACTTGTTATCAGTCTAATATCTATATAGCATTTAATTTTATTTTCTCCTCATTATATTTTAAGAGAATAAAAAAGTGCCAATGCGACTTACCAGGTATCAAACAGGCTTGCAGTAGTCAATACATAAGAAGGACTTATAAGCGCTCCTGCTCCTACCACTCTTTTATCATAGACAATCAATGCCTGAAAAGGCATGAATTATTAAAAGCCGCAATTAGAAAAACCACTGAATTAAAAAAATAACCTTATATTGTGATAAAATTCTATATAAGAAAGATGCTAATTTAGCCCAATTTAATGACGAAATTAGCCCTAGATTCTGGGAAGGAATTCATTTATACTATATTAAGGTTTAAAGGGTGTCCTAAAATGACTGACATATTTTCGAGGAAAAATTACGAGTAAACAGCTAAATAAATATATATTCGTATGACCTGTGTAAGAAAGAAAAAGTTTTTCTATTTTTGTCTGATTATTAAAGTCATTGCCATTTGCCATACCAGGCTTACTCATCAAATAGTCAATGTGATAAAACTCTCTGTGGTACTAGACGAAGGATAAAGTATTTATTTCAGCCTTTCAGTTGGATACTGATGAACTAATCATAGGAATCAACAAGATAATTTATAAAATCAGGCTTCAAAAACATAGTGTATAAGCTGGATTGCAATTTGAATGTTTATGGCGTTATGAAAGAAGCTCAAGCATAGTATTGTAAAGTGAATAAATTTGAATTGAATTGGATTTGATTGCAATTTAGATATTTATCGCTTTATGAAAAAAACTCAAATGTAGTATTTTAAAGTCAATAAATGTTTTTGCTGAAATAATACTGTCAACCCTCATAATAGCTTCCCATAAGATGAAGAACATTATGATGAATCTCTTTATATCCGAAGTCGAATTTAATATATTTTCATCATTCAGGGATTTTTTGAGCAGTCGTTGTAATGGAATGGTTAATATGTAGAGCAGTCTTTATAACGAGAGATCACATTAAGATAGTCTGGGGTACAGTGTTCTTTCAGGGATCGCTGCTATTCACTTTCCTTGTTTTTGCGGGAGAAACAGGCTTATGATTAGTGTGATTTAGGCTTACTAAAATCCTCGGCCTAAAACAGTAATCAGGCTATCTCGACGTAGTAGTTACAAAAAACTTTAAAGGGAACCTTTTTTTTTTATTTCGTATAAAATAATACATTGTGCAAGTGTTTAACATAGGGGAAAAAAATTAAGCGTGAGATATCTATTTTATGCATAAAAGAATATAAAAAGGCAAAAACAAGAAGGGAAAAGAATAAATATTGCCTTATACTTAGGCAAAACATACGCTGAAGAGTTTTATGATGCAGAAAAATTTATGTTATAAGGAGTGTTCAAATGAAACGGTACGAAACGTCATAACAACCAAACCGGTTGAAATTTGAATATGCCATTTTGACATAACGTAGTAAGTTATCTAAGGACACGAATGCATCTGACATGGTTGTGCGCATGCGCAAGCGCCCGCACATGACGCCGGAGTGAAGGAGGCAGTTATGTGTTCCGTCCAATTGATGCAGCAGTGCGTGTGATTACATCTTGGCGTTCACAATCAAACTTCGACAACTGAGGAGCAGCAAGATGTTATCAGATTTCTGACTGTGGAAGGGGTTAAACCGGCGGATATTCATCGTCGGATGGTGGTCGTATACGGAGCAGATTGTGTGTCCGACAAGTAAGTGAGAAAGGTGGAATGCCAGTTCTTCTCCGTATTGCCAGTTCTGCTCCGTATATCAACGGAGTATACAGAAGTAGCTATACAGGGGTTCTACTGCTTTAGCAGTACTTCCCTGTAAACCAGAAAAAAGTCCACAGTGGGCATGGTGATAAAAGTTCCTGAGTGAATTCCATGGAGGGAGCAGGGAGACGGAGGAAAAAGTTGAAAATTCCTCAATTTGGCCCTTTGAAACTAGCGAGAGAATAGAAATTAAAGTCCATAAGTCGGTCGAGGATGCAATCTTTACGAGTTCTAGTGCTGCCATCTATTGGTCTTTCCGTAAGTAATTTCAGAATTTGGTTTTAGGCTTAGTTGACGATTTCTGTGGCGCCATCTATCAGTCAAGGTGCAAATCTTGCCGAGGAAAGAGGTTTAAACTTGAAAGATGAGATGAGAAAGAGCGACACACATATCAGAAATCAATGCGTTTATTGCATTGTAATTTACACAGCTGTAAAAACTCAAAACGTTTAGTTCACCAGAAAGACTGGAGGGGAATGGATATCATTTTCCTTCAGAATTTCGTTCTGTGGCAACTTGATATCATTGGATTTCATCCTGTGGCGATCACTGGACTTGACCTCGTCCAGCAATAGAACGGCTAAGTAAGCTCAGAAGGTCATGTTATCTGATGTCATGAACTTCGTCTGAAGTGGAAAGTGAAATGTGAAAAATATGGCGCAAGAAATAATAATAAAAAAATAAATATAATGCAAGAAAAGCCCACGGAAAAACTGGTTGCCACCTTCCAGAAAGCAAGAAGTAGGTGAAAAATATTTCACTGAATGAGGCATAATACGAATCGATGAATTACCGGACACAGATGGTACTATCTGAAAAGCACAAAGAAAATGTCCGAAATTCGAAGAAGATACTTGGTTTTTCAGAGGGTGTTCACACATTTCTGTAACGATTTTGCAAAGGGTTATATATAAAAAAAACCTTAGAATTTTATTTTCTAATATCTTTAGTCTGATAGACCTTTTATTGAACTATCGTATTAAATCTTGATTTCCAAGATAAAAGTCGTTTTCTTAAAACATCAAGATTGATCTTCTCATGTGCTGCCATCTATTGAGAGGTTTTTCAGTCTTCTTAGTTTTCTTCATCAAACTTCATGAAAGTCATAGTTGCATAGAAACCGACTCTAAATTTCTCCGAGGGGCTCTTTGTAGCTTTAATTTGCTCTATTAGTTGAATAGCTGTAGTGAGGAAATTCTTGATGTTTTCATCTTTAAGCCAAGTCAGGATTTCGTTGATCTGTTCTGGTAGCGGTTGTAAGTTCTGTTTTTTTAATTTAGAACTTGTACGTCTGGTTTTGCTGTGCTGGTTTCTGCTGGGTTGGAGTTTCTGCTGCTTTCATCTCTGTGAGCATCTGAGGAAAATTATCCGAAGTAAAATCTGGGGTTTTCTGTACTGGAGGTTTCGGCTGGGAGTCTTTGGTTTTTACTTTCAAAACGTTTCTTGTAGTAGCTACAACACCTGTAGCTACTGATGTGGGGTCTTCGGCAAAAACTGCAAGTTGGTTTTTGATCTTTAGGCATCTGACAGAGATTGCTGCGATATGGTAAACCACATTTTACTCACCTTTTGAGCTTATTACAACATGTCTGCCTATGTCCGTATTCTTGATATCTCTAGCATTGTACAAGACGTCTGCGAAGGTTAAACTTTTCAATACTGCAGTTGAAGCTGAATATATTTGATAGATTATGGATGGAGTGTTCGTCTGCATTCTTTTAAGTTCGAGAAGGAATATTGCCAATTTGATGATGCTTTCTGGTCTATTTCTGGTTTAATCTTTAGGATGGGGTACTTCCCATTTGATCAGGTCGTCGTAAATGGCACTTTCCTTAACTGAGGCTGGAACTCCCTTTAGAATAACTCGTAGCAGTTTGAAGCTGCCTAACATATATGAGTGAAATGAAACACCTTGTGCTAGAAGAACTTTACACATGGTTCTGTAATCTTTGGAGGTTTTAGTATAAACATAAATGTATACTCCGTCCATATTACATTTATGTTTATACTAAAAACTCCAAGTATATATCCAAATACTTCTGTATACTCCGTTGATATACATTTCAGTGACGATTCAAAATCCTCTATGAAGTGCTTTTTAAAAAGTTCATCTAAATCCTACCAATCGGCTTCATCGTGGGAGAAAACGATGAGTTGGGGGGTTACTTTCCTTTCCTCTTCTTCTTCATCTTCTGGTTGCTGATTTAAAAGTGCATAAAATCTATTTTCCTGCTTTATTTTCAAAGGTTTTAGAGTTTATTTAATTTTAGTGACCTTCTTGGGCGATTTCCCTCATTTATCGGTGCAGGGAGAGGCATCGTTTCCGTTTCGAAGGTACCTTTAGTCTGCGATGAGTCAGTACGGATTCGTTTCCTCTCAGATTTTGTTCCGATATTCTCTGCTGCAGTGGCTTCATTTTCTTGGGTGGCGTTTGGCGTTGATTTTAATACATCAATAGCTTCAATAACTTTTTCCACTCCTTGTTTTTTCAATAACTCCAGAAGGTAATTAACTCGGTACTTATGTGATAATTCCTCAGGGATTTTAACTTCGCTTGGGAAGACAGGGTAGTTGCGACTTTCTTCTTCTTTGTCACTTTCTTCGGTTTGGCTTGCTTCTCTGAAATCGGGCTTTTTAGAAATTCCATTTTCTTTGAGCAGTTGGGCATAGATAGCGTGGAAATATCCTGCAAAATCGCTATACCATCGGATCCTGCAAAATCGCTATAGCATCAGAAATCGGTGTCCTAAATAAGGACATGTTTTGTGATACCCGAAGGGATCACTATCAAGCTGAGAAAAATCGAATCAAAGTCAAGAGCGCTGTTCGACTGTCTACGGTTACTGGGTCGAGCTCCGAACTACTCCGTATACGGCCACCATGCGGCGATGAATATCTGTTGGTTTAATCCCTTCTACAGTCAGAAATCTGATAACATCTCGCTGCTCCTCAGTCGTCGAAGTTTACATTGTGAGCGCCAAGATGTCATCACACGCACTGCCGTATCAATTGGACGGAACACACAACTGCCTTCCTCACTTCGGCATAATGTGCGGGTGCTTGCGCATGCGCACAAACATGTCGGATACTGCATTCGCGTCCTTAGATGTCTCACTACGTTATGCCAAAGCTGCATATTAAAATTTCAACTGGTTTGGTTGTTACGATGTTTCGTACTTTTTCATTTGAACATCCCTTATATTATTACTGCATTAAAAAATTGCTTTGCTTACAGTTTATTTTAAATTACGCATGATCATATTATATTACAAATGGTTTTAGCATTATGCTTAATTGTATGAACTAACTACATACTTATAGAATACGAAACTTATCTTTTGGTAAGTTCAATAGCATCATAACTAAGTAGCTTTAGAAAGTGGAGTAGTGAGATAAAAGTACGATAAATTATTTCCTTACCATCCATGGAAATTCAAAAGGCTCTGCTTCAACTCCACCCGCGATTCTTTCAGTGGCATCTGAATTCGGAATGCCGCAATCTATTCCAAAAGAAAACAAATATATATAATTTTTGTTTTCTGCTTCGCTATAATTCTATGCGCATTCAGCTGTGCAATCTTATCCTCAAGTTTACGAATAATCGCACAAATATTCTGACTTCATTTCATTATATTTAAATCTCAATTTACATAAAATTATAAATATATTTATTTAAATATAATTATTAAATGAGCGGCTCTTGTTAACCTTTTGCCTTATAATAACAAGTCAGATGCCTCAACAGATTACGAGTCAAATGTACCAACAAACGAGTAACTCTAGTGTGGCGATTGACATAAAATAAATAGTTCCTGGAAAGATGAGATGAGAAAGAGCGACACATATATCAGAAATCAATGCGTTTATTGCATTGTAATTTACACAGCTGTAAAAAACTCAAAAAGTTTAGTTCACCGGAAAGACTGGCGGGGAATGGATATCATTTTCCTTCAGAATTTCGTTCTGTGGCGACTTGATACCATTGGATTTCATCCTGTGGCGATCACTGGACTTGACCTCGTCCAGCAATAGAACGGCTAAGTAAGCTCAGAAGGTCAAGTTATCTGATGTCATGAACTTCGTCTGAAGTGGAAAGTGAAATGTGGAAAATATGGTGCAAGAAATAATAATAAAAAAATAAATATGATGCAAGAAAAGCCCCCGGAAAAACTGGTTGCCACCCTCCAGAAAGCAAGAAGTAGGTGAAAAATATTTCACTGAATGAGGCATAATACGAATTGATGAAATACCGTACACAGATGGTACTATCTGAAAAGCACAAAGAAAATGTCCGTAATTCGAAGAAGATACTTGGTTTTTTAGAGGGTGTTCACACATTTCTGTAACGATTTTGCAAAGATTATATAAAAAAACCTTAAAATTTTATTTTCTAATATCTTCAGTTGATAGACCTTTTTATTGAACTCTCGTATTAAATCTTGATTTCCAAAATAAAAGTCTTTTAAAACATCAATGTTTGATTTTGTCCATCCGTCCTTCTCAATTTCTGCCGGAAGTCCATCTATGTTTTCGATCCGCTCATACCAGCTTGTTTTAAAAAATTAAAGTCCACATACACAGTAATCCATAGGAGACACATCAGGGGACGACTTGGATGGGATACATTTAAGGGGAATAACTTCCGGTTTCATTTCTCATTTTTTCAAAAAATAGAGCAGTAGATTTAGAGGTATGGTTTGGAGTCTTATCCTGACGGAACTTAATATAGTGAAGATTGTTTGTATAAATAGATGGAATTTCTTTAAAAATATGTGTTTAAACATATTTCTGATAGTAATCAGAATTAATTTTGACATTTTTTCTACTTTCCTTATTTTAAGTTTTCCGTTGTAAGAGAATCCCGTAATAAACCATAAAACCTTTAAAAAAACTTTCTTTGTTTTCTATGAACCAATATATTAAGTCTTTTTTTCCTTATTTTCGGTTGTAAATCGATCTTTTTCTATTGCAATCAGATAAGTATATCCAAGCATCATCAATTGCAACTATATATTTCCCTTTTTTACCTGCCAAATAATTTTCATACAGCAATCTGCACATAGTCTTAAGGTGAGAAACATGTAAACATGTAAATTCATTGGTGGGATCAACTCCAGCGATTCGAAAAAAGTGCACAAAATGCTACTCTGATCGAACATTTGTCGGTTTGAATAAAGGATTAGATTTGATTGAATTACTTGGATTACGGCAAAGTCAACGACAGCTAATTGTTCAAGAGAAAAGATGCCTTCATGGAGAACTTTCTAAGAGAAACTGGATTGCAATCACGTTACGCATTGCGAAAACAATCGATTTGTTCGTAAGGGTTGGAACCTACAGTCAGTGTTCTGATGTCACTGGTGATACGGTGAAGTTCTTAGGATTCTATTACAGTATGTATAAAACAATTATGAAAAAAAAAAGGAACCCGCATACTCACTGTTGAGATTCGGTTTCACTGGTGGAATAACTTCGTCCACACAAGGAGGTGCATCTGCGGTCTCGTCTCGTATCCAATCTAGGTACTGCGAAACCCTCGTATAGACTCCGGGAAGATCTAGTCCACCACAAGTCCTGCCCCAAGAAACGACTCCAACAGAAAACCACTTTCCATCACTTTTCACTATTAGAGGTCCTCCTGAGTCCCCCTGAATGCAACAATACAAAGAAACAATAGAATTATTCTTGCATCCTTCCTTGTGTCCAATCACCTAATTTTAAAGTAGATAAAGTACACTGCTCAAAAAAAAAAAAAAAAAAAAAAAAAAAATGGGACAGTGCTATATCTCCCGTTCTACTGGGCGATTCACAAAATTCAAATGCGTTCTTCATGTCTCGAAAGCGCGACTTAGGATGTATATTAGATTAATATATAGCACTATTCTAACATAGGTATTTTGACACAAAATCGGACTTTTTCTGAAATAACATACCAATTTTTTTCCATATTTCGATTCTACGACTCAAATTATGCCAGAATAACCAAGTTTTGTAAAAATCGTACGAGTAGTTTTTGAAATATTAGCTCTCAAAATTTTAGCTCCTCAATGTTAATTGAATTTGGCAAATATTTATTTATATCTCATTTTTTTTTACTAAAAACTTTTTTTTGATTTTTTTTTCTCTCACATTTCGAAATTTAGGTTCATTCCAAATAAAATTTTACCCATTTTTTGTGTTTTATTTTTTTTTTAAAAATCTATTTTTAATTAAATAATTTTTTATAAATTTTTCGAAAAAAATTTTCAATTATAACCTATAAAATTTTTACCATCATCTTAAAGTAGGTAATATTTTTAAGCATATCTGCAAAAAATTAGACTTTTTTATTCAAAATTTTCTAAGATATATACACAAATTTACATATTTTCGCGTTTTGAAATTTGGCATCTTTTTTTTTTTTGAGCGATAATAACGCCAAATGTGGTCTATGGATTTTTGTTACACTGTATTGCCACAGCTATTTTTAACCTTAAATTTCAAGTAAAATTTTACGGAAAATTAATTATATGACATTTTTTCCCCCACAATGATGCGTAATAATATTTATTAATACTATAATGAAAATCTATTTTTTTAAATTATATAAATTTTTTAATATTTTTTTTTAATTTCTCTCTATCTTCTCTCTTTCTTTTTTTTTTTTTTTTTTTTTTTTTAAATAAGAGTAAAATTTTTGTAAGAGTAAATTTTTACCTTCGGCGTTTTATCGTCTGCTACTTTACTTCGTTTAAATCGAATTGTCTAAACTGAGAATTTTCGTTTGATGTTTATTTGAATTTTATGACATTAACTGCACAATTATTTCTAAACAAACTGATGCTTTTGAAATGGCTGAAAGAGCGGCTGGTACTATCATCCATATTTTTAAAGCACAGTATAATCATTTTTATAATGTCAAACAACCCTCTAGAGACTGAATTAATGGAAGTTCATGGTTATGTAGAAATGATCTGCAGCTACTTAATCGTGGATAAGTCAGCAGATTCCGTGGACAAGTAAGAATAATTATATAAACGACACCCAACATTCTGAATTCAATTAACAACGAGGATACGATGTTATTAAATGAATTCAAGAAGTTTTAAACATAAAAAATCAACTCATTTTTTATCCTAAAATGTATTTTTGTGCGTATTTTTCATTTTTAATTTAAAATTCTAAAATTCTTAAAATTTAAAATGTAATTGTCAAGAACTGATTCCTAATCATCAGTAATATAATAAGTAATTATTACGGTTATTAATAAATCCTTCTTATAAAGTAATTGCAAATATTTCAAAAAACTTTCTGTCTGAATGCAAATATTTTTCTATGCAATTTTATATTATATCAAGATTGCTCACGATATTATTTATTTGCACTTCAATTTTTAACGTCAGTTCTAGTAGAAAGAGTACAAATCAATTATATTTAATTAGGATTGGATTGGATTATTTAATTATGGCAAAGCACACGAGGGCTATCTGCCTAAAGGAGGGATGCCTTCGTGGAGGACTTTCTAAGGAAAACTGACTCGTATACCGTACACATGGGGAAAACCACTAAAACCCATGCAACCAGCCCGTTCGCGGGATTCGAACTTCGACCGAACTACCATGCTCAGGACTTCACCCTCGGCCGCTGGTGGCTATTTATTAAGAAATGACCATCTAATTAGAAAGCGACCGTAACACACTTCATATTGGCGCCCGTTTGTCCTCCCGAGGCAAAGCTACCAGATTTTTAATGAGTATTCGGGTTTTGTTAGTAACTTCATTTGGAAATCGCGCTTAAATAGTTTAGTGGTTATTTGAACATAGAAAGAACATGGAGCTATTGGTTAAGAATGCTTTCATAGAGAACCTTTGTAAAGAGAACCTAAAACTACGAAAACACCATTGGCATGGTTAACTTCGCAACAACATTAGTTTTAACATCTGCCCTCTAGCAACTGGTAGGCTCCAATTAATCTCCAATTTTATTTATTTGTAAATATTTAATATTTTATTTAGAAAAAGCTAATTTAAGTTTTGTTAAACTCGTTAGTAAAACTACCAAGCCGTAGTGCAAATAAATATTCAATTTTTTGCAATAATTGTATTCACTTAATATTCTTGAATAGATAAAGAAGGAACGCTCTCGGAAGATTAAAGAAGTGTTTTAATCCAGTGATATAAGGTGTCTACAAGCTCAGGATCAAAACGATTCTGCAATTGCCCAGTAGTTGACTTGTAAATGGCTGTGAATTAAGCAGATGACTTTTAATCTTACGTTCAGTCAGACAACGTATTCCAATGTTTTGTATGCAGATAATGCATCTTTTCATTATTCAATAACCAGTCGGAGACCGCTTGTGTTCCGAAAATAAGTATGTGTACTCGATCGTCCTGCATGTTTTTCAAATTTTCTTCTTGTGATTTTTTTCTTTCACAAAACTAAGTTGCCTCTCAAAGAAAGTTTTTTATATGAGAGACAAAAGGAGTAGGACATCTACTTTTAGAGGCATGTCAAAAACAGATCTCTACACAAGCCTTCTCTTCCATTACATGTTGTGCAGTCAGACAAAAAGTTGCATCAGCGTAAATTCTATAATCTATTTTTATTACACTCTATTACTTTACTAACATACAGTGAATATATACTAAATCTTTTACTTCAGCTTAAGTAATTCGGAAATTTTGACGAATTGTTTGTCGGACTAGGACTTAGAAGATAAGTCAAATTAAATATTTCGATAACCCAATAAATTCAAGGTTGAATTTCAATATTTTATTTTCGAGGGAGGGGAATTTTTTTCAGTTTTTCCATTATCCTAAGTATATTTGCTTCGATTCTTTATTTTTCTATAAAAGCGAAAATTTACGCATGGTATAACTATAACGCATAGCTTCAAATTAAAATTTAATAATTTACAGAGGGTTATAATTAAAGTTCCACATTGAACGGTCATAAAAAGTGTGTGAGAAATTCGTCCGTTGAAAAACCACGAATTACGATTAGAAAATGTGAGATCCCAATCACTCGCACAAGTGCGTACAATCTGGAATCGTTTTCTTACAGATCGTTAATTTGTAATTTTTGAAGCCTGAATTCGGCCCTAAACATGAAGATACTGATTCAAAACGCTTTTAATCGATTTGGGCCGAAAAAGCCTCAGTTTCTATCTAGTTCCATTGCATTTCCTATTGCATTCGATTGCATAGCAGTCATTCCCACACCGTTTAGTGTTGAATGACAGGCTAGTTTCATAACTGAACATTTTTTCTCTGAAGAGCAGTCGACAGCTGGACCACTGTGATTGCAGCTCACTTAGAGTCAATGTTAAAATGTTTCGTGATACATTAATGCAGTACGTGGCATTTTAGATACTACGATTTTGGCAGGCTGGCCCCACCTCACGTGTGTCGCACAGTTAATTTAGGCAACATTTCACGAAATGAACGTCTATAGCCAACTTCCCCTTTCCCACCAGTCCTCAACCTCTGTGACTTTATCTATGGGTTTCCCAAAGCACTGTTTATGGTGATAATCTAAACAGTTTGGCAGAAAATGAAAAATGTGATACACTGACATGTGTAACATTCCTCCTGATATGCTAAGAGCTGCTCTTGAATGCAGTAACAGGATTTAACTTGCTTTCGGAAATGCTGGAGGCTACATTGAACATGTTTGTACACGTTCGCAAATATTAAACATTTTAAACAGATGTTTCGTGTCTTATTTCTTTAACAATATTGTATACAGCGCCATTTGTCCCCTTGTGGTAAGTTTTGAACTCTTTTTTTTTTTTTTTTTTTTTTCCTAGAAACTAAATTCCCATAACCTCCTTTACACGATTCCCAAGTTTGATAACATTTGGTACGGTAATTTTCCTTTTATGACCATTTCATTGGAACTTTAATTATAACCACCATTAAATTAAACTTTAAAAAATTTGACAGTTTGGGTCAAGTCCCAGCTTTAAAAAAATATATATAATATAATCTTTATATTAATCCTCTTAGAAAGAATGTTTTAAGAAGCTAATTTTTCTCTCCGTTATAGATTATATAAAAAAAATGATCTTTAATATGATTTAGATTGTTTCAGCCGATATAAGAATCGGGGTCACCCGGTGGTACAATAACCCTGCTGGCTGCTTTATTTCTTTGTCATTTAGCAAAAATCTTTAATTAAAATATTTATCCTTTGGACTTCGCTTTAAACTTTATTTATAGTTAAAATGACTAGAAATGAAAGCTGTCTTCAGCTGAACGCAATTCATGTAACTGATATTTTAAAAAATTGACAAGAATGCAAATTTATGGAGTCTGCATCGAAAATCTTAATTTTCTTGTGTGTGCACTGAAAATACTGTAGTAGGAAAAGAAGAAAATTAGGGAGAAAAGTAAGCAAAATTTGCAGGAAATTTTGCTGTCAGACATCCAAGATGTTTCAAAAAGTGGACGCTTTTGAATATTTCAGATATTTCAAAATTTAGGGTTCAAGAAAAAACACTTGGACGTGTAACACCAGCAATACCATCAATTGAGCTTGTGGTTAACAGAAAGACAAAACGATATCATTGCAGATTAAGTGAGCGACTGGTTTTATATGGTTGTATAAATTTAAATTACGTTAGAACATCATTCGTATCATAAATGGGAATCCCATGATTTTCTCATTCGAATTATTTGAAGATTCAGGAGTTTATCCAGTGAGTAGTGGACGTCACCTAAAGATGTTTTTTTTTCCTCCTGAATGAAACAGCGACCGAGCGGTAAAGTCGTTGAACGCTGGTAATTCTGTTCGAGGCCGAATCCCGCGAACGGGCTGGCTGCATGGGCATTTTCGTGTTTTCTCCATGTGTAACGTGCATGCGAGCCAGTTTCCCCTTAGAAAATCCTCCACGAGGGCATCCCTCCCTTAGGCAGATAGCCCTATGTGCTTTGTCTAATTAAATAAACCAAAACCTCTTGATGAAACCAGTCTTTTTCCTTTCATCTCATACCTTTAAATGTTTAGCCTCTAAAGACTGATAAAGGCTCTGACCAAATATTGATGAAATGATTGAATTGGATTATTAAGTTATGTCAAAGCAGGGGTATCTGCCTAAAGGAAGGATGCCTTTGTGAGACTTTTTAAGGGAAACCAGCTGGCATACACGTACATAAAAAATACGAAACGCCCATGCAACCAGCCCGTTTACCGGATTCGAACCCCGGAGCGAACACCAGTTTCAGCGACTTACCGCTCGGCCGTTTGTGGGCCTTTTGAATGGAGGATAACTTTATTTAAAATGATTGTCAGAAATATCAAGATATTTGGAAAATTTGATGCTTTTTAATATACTTCAGAATGCCTAAGAAAAAGAGCAATAATAAAGTAGAATGCCTGAAGAAAAAGAGAAGAAAAAATAATTTTTGGGTAAAATTTAGTATTGCTGCCCTTTATTTAAGCAGTTCGAATAGGTAAAGAAATTTTAAACATTATTCGAAACAAACCATGCAAACTTAAACATTAAAATGAAATTCGAAAAAGAAAAAATTACTTAAATATAGTTTAATTAAAAATAATATAAAGAATATTTTTGGAAAAAAAAACGATGGTGACTTTTTTCTCTCACGGGAAAGGAAACGAGTTGCCATAAATTATAAGAAGTTAGCCAAGTGAACTATTCTTGGCGCAAACTGATAAAAAGTGCCAATATAATTTGTGAATTTCTCCTTAAATTTCGCTCCAAAATTTACCAAAATTTCACATTTAGGCGTAATTTGAGTCGTAGAATCCAATATGTAAAAAAAACTGGCATGTTATTTCAGAAAAGTCCGATTTTGTTCAAAATACCTATGTTAGATAGTAATATAAATCTAATATATATCCTATGTCGCGCTTTCGAGACATGAAGAACGCAATTTGAATTTTGTCAATCGGCCCAGTAGATCGGGAGATATAGGACTGTCCCATTTTTTTTTTTGAGCAGTGTACATTTGGTTGTATGATGCTACAATTCAGAATGATAATAATATAATCTCGAAACTGTTATTAATTAAAAAAATAACTTTTTTACGTTTTTAAAATAGTTGAATGCACAGTTCCTTTTTAAACTTCTTGACTGGCTCATAACTAAAATTGTATAGAAAAGTTTCAGATGGAATTTTTAAATATAATAGAATACCAGAAATTAAATTAATTAAATCCTAGTACTTTAAAAATAATGCTTTCTGCTGCTTGCCTGTTAGACGAGAGTAAATAATTTATACGATCTCATTTATTGATACTCGCCAAATTATCATAAACATAACAATACGAGCAAAACTTTTCTTTGTCTTGTTTTGAAATGAGGCTTTAAATGCCTTTGGATCTGATGAATTATTTTCAACTGTCTTGCTGAATTTGTCAATTAATTTCCGTTCTAAGAATTCTGGATTCAGTTCCGATTTTGCTCTGGCTTCCAGAGCGTAATGAGAGTGTCGTAAGAACTAGGCATTGAACAAAGTAAAAGCGCTGAAATGTGTTCGTCTTTTATGTTCTCACCTATTGATTTGAGTTTATCGACTAACTACAGTAATGTATTTATATGTGTTTGCATATTTCCGTCTTCCTCAAACTTCAACCTGTAAAGCTTTCGCAAAAGAAATAGTTTACTTGAAAGATTAGACCTTTCATGTACCTGCCTGAGTTTTTCCCATGTGGCTTTAGCAGTAGTTTCATGTTTATGTGAATAATTTGGCTGTCTTCGATAAATAAATTTATCATCGAGCGACATTGCCTATCCCGTTTATTCCATTGTTCTGTAATAGGGCTTGGAGGAACATCTTTGATTACATCGTAAAGATCCTCCTTTGTTAGTAGCATTTGCATTTTGAATTTCCATGTTGAGTAATTGCTGGAATTCAGTTTTGAAATTTGCATTTGACTTAAATTCAACATTTTTGTATCGTCGAAAAAATTAATTCTCGGTTTTGATATGAAACTACAGTTTGTCCTTTACAGTTTATTATTATTATTTAATTAGTTATGGTTTTTTTCCCTCAGTCTCATAATCTTTTGTTGTAAAACAGTTTTATAGCCTCGAAATTTCATAACAAATTAATAAAAGTAAAGAGCAAAATGATTCCTCTTACCTTGTATCCAGCGCAGTTTCAAGCGAGATGATATTTAATTAACTTGTAATCCCCCCCAGGAAAAAGGCTGTAGACGAAAATTTTAAGCGAAACAAATACTTTATATGAAAATATATAAAGATTGGTTAGTATCACAAATAGATATCGAAAAAGGGAGTTATATAAAAGACAGTGTCATATCACTGTCCGTTCCTGAAGGAGTAAGTGTAAAGAATAAGCGAGTTACACAATTAAACTCCTTTGCAGGATTTCCAGTTCATAATGTTCATCGCGCTATTGGCGACAGTCCATCACTATTTGCATACAAACACGAACAACCTAAAAACTAGCTTGAAATGTCAAGGCACGCTTTAGCATATAGGTATAATTATACATGTGTGAAGTCTTGCTATAGTACTAGAGATATATCGATGTACAAATAAAATTTAATGAACAAGATATGATCTTTATATTCAGATTCCACATCAATAACCTGAAATAATTTTAAACTAAAAAACTACAGTAGGTCTACTAATTGAAAATTTCATTCCCCAAAATTCAAGATAACATAAAAGGAAATAAAATAAGAATAAAAAATTATATTTCCAAGATGAGATATTGAAAACAGCAGTGATAAACGGTAGAGAAAAAAACTCGCTATGATATTATTTTAACATATATTGCCACTTGAAGATTTTTGCACTTATTTAATAAAGAAAAGATTTTTAATTATTCAACAGGTAAATTGAAGTTTTTCACTGAACTGCTTGTGTACGAAGTTCGCAACAAATATATACTGCAGATATTTATAGAAACAGTTTTTCCAGCTTGAGAACATGAAATTCGTGTTGGGAATATAATAAAAACTGATTTCAAATCTTAAAAGTTAGTGGTGGAGAAACAATATGGAACGAAAATCTTATTCACTGAAACCTAAAAATTAAGTTACCATATTCAACAGTTCCAATGGATATTAGATGGGATCTATCGAGAAACTGAGGAGTGCTTATTTTCTCAAATATTTTAATGAAGGATGAAAAAAAAAACTATTCAAATTCTCGAAATTGATAACGACGAAGTTAAAAACAGCTAAATCTGTGATCTTCAAAATCGGTCCTAAATATAATTTCACAGATTCAGACAAAATGGCAAATACAATTTTATCCGTTCAGAAATTGGCCGCTGATATACGGCGCCTTAACTTGCTGGTTTAACAAGACTTCAGATCTGTCGATTCATCCTATTCCTTACAATTAATGTAAAATCAATTGATACACCTAACAGAGAAGTATCCATATTTCAGAATGATTTTTAAGTAGTTTCCATAACAAAGTGGGCCCACCAGCGGCCGAGCGGTAAAGTCGCTGAACACTGGTAGTTTGGTCTGAGGTTCGAATCCCGCGAACGGGCTGGCTGCATGGGTGTTTTCGTGGTTTTCCCCATGTGTAACGTGTATACGAGCCAGTTTCCCTTAGAAAGTCCTCCACGAAGGCATCCCACCCCTTAGGCAGATAGCCCTTGAGGCTTTGCCATAACCACACACACACCATAACAAAGTGTAAGTAAAGTGAAATTTCTAAATCCATACAGTGAATCCCGGGATCTCGAAAAACAGTAAAACTTCGCAAAACATTTATAGGATTTACAGGAAGCTATTAAATATATTAAGCTAGTTCTTTACCGAACAGGCATCTTTATTTTTTTCCCCTCCAGCACAAATATTTGTGTCTAAGATGAGTCCGCCATACGCTTCTACACAGTAGGCATTGGTAACAACCGGTACTTCAACTTCTAGAAGCTCCTTACTGTATATGTCACCTGCAATGAGAAAATTCTTCTCAGTAAATTAGAACAGTAACTATATAGTCAAGAATGATGTATTGTCAAGGTATGATCACTTTTTGAAACAAAGAAAACCAGAACATGGAGGTACAATGCGCGAAAAAAAGGGGAGCCAGTTCTATATATCCCGTTCTAAGTGGGCCAATTGAAAAAATTCAATTTGCGTTTTTCATGTCCCGAAAATGAGACTTATGTTTTAGATTTATATATACAACTGTTCTAATATAGGTATTGTGACACAAAATCGGAAATTCTTTGAAATGACAAGCCAATTTTTTTCCATATTTCGATTCTACGACTCAAATTATGTCAAACTGCCAAGTTTTGCAGAAACCGCACGAGGAGTTTTTAAAAAAATTTAGCTCCTCGATGTTAATTGAATTTGATATGTATTTATTAATAATTCTCTTTTATTAAACTTATTTGAGTCTTCCTTTTATATTTCGAAATTTAGGTATAAATAAAATTCCAAATAAAATTCGCCCATTTTTATGATTTATTTTTAAAATTTGTATTTTAAAATAAATTTTATAAATTTTTCGAAAACAAAATTTGAATTATAGCCTATAAAATTTTTGCCATCATATTTGAAATTTGGCGTATTTATTATAAGCGTTAATAACGAAATCACTTTTTTTTTCTATTCATGGACAATGAAAAAAAAAGGAAAGGAAAATAGGTTGCTATAAATTAAAAAGTTCGCCAAGTGGCTCTTGGCGAACTTCCTGGCTCAAACTGAAAAAATGCGCCAAGCTAAATTATTACTTTTTCCATAAATTTCTTATTAAAAATTGCAAAATTTAATATCTAGGCATAATTTAAGTGGTAGAACTGAAATGTAGAAAGCAATTGGTATGTTATTTCAGAAAAGTCCGATTTTGTGTCAAAATACCTATGTTAGAACAATGTTATATATAAATCTAATATATATCCCAAGTCGCGCTTTCAAGACATGAAAAACGCAATTTGAATTTTGTCAATCGGCCCAGCAGAACGAGAGATATAGAACTGCTCTCCCCCCTTTTTTTTTTGCGCAGTGAACAATAACCTTATTTCTATTGGAAAAAAAAGTCCATTTGATGAAGTACGTACTTATTTTATTTTACATAATACAATTTCTATTTGTCCTTATTTAATCGATTTTATTATATTTTTATTTAAAATGTGTGCAGTAAAATACGGCTTTTTTTTTTTTTTTTTTTTTTTCCCTAGAAAATTTTTGAGGGTGAGAAGGAGGGCTTTCTATAGGGGCAAAATTGTCATTTTTCCATATGTAAGAATGAACACAGGCGCCAATTTTTCATTTTCTTCACGGGAGTTGGAGAGGGGGGCAAGATTTTCATAGACGAAAATTCCAATATAATAGAATATTTCAAGTCGTATAGAAGATTTATTTTCCTCTTTCGTGGGAAAGCGTGTTGCAGGGGTTTATAGTCTAAGTCCAAATTATCAACGTTTATTCAATTTATTTAATGACTAGGCTCCCCAATGAAGCACTTTGGTGTGTTCGTGCACGTGTTTGTACAGAAAGGCAAAAGAGATATAAAAAGCGGCTTGAGGAGCCTACCCAAGTAGTTTTATACTTACCCATTAGGCATGTAGGCAGGGAAGGCCCGAGCTAAAGAACTGAAGTTTTATATTCAGTTATTTTCGTAAAACGTTGAGAATATTAGATTTTTAATATTAAATTGGCTTCTGGGGCTTCGCCCCGTACTCTGCTGGGGAATGCTGCAGCAGATTCTCTGAGGACCTTGTCCTTCTCGTTGACTTTGAAATTTCCAAATTTGATTAATTTCCTCGAGCTAAAAACAGAATTGTCTATATTGGTCATTTAAGCTTGGGTTTACAACACACAGTAAAATTCATTCCAGATGTTAACATATAACGTTTGTGTATTAGCAAAACATTTTGCACTTTCCTCCTCTGAAATTTTCCGATTTACGTGCCTGGTACGCATTGTCCCTTCTCCCTCTCGTCCTTTGGAGAAAAATCTGAATCCGCTCAACTAGAAGATTTCAGATGTTGAATTTAATTTTAGGGATATTTTTAATGGTTATTTCTCAAAAATGTACGATAATATTTACATAGAAAACTAAACTTCAAAATACCACACGAAGGTGGTTCTGTGGGTTGCTAAGACCTTAGAGGTTGTATTCCTCTATCGGGGAAATCGAACCGTTTGGTTGCCGCTCTTCCGCAACAAGATCTGTTGATTCCATCTTGATGGGAATTTTGGAGAATTGATTTGATTGGGGACGGTTCATTTTTAGATATTGTCTATGAATTTACATGTCCAAACATCAGCGGTTTTGTCTGTGATGCCTTTTACAAATCTGGCTTTTGTTGACAGCTGATATATTAAAACAAATAATAACAATACAATAAAACATTGGAAGCATTTACAAGATTGAGTATAGCAATAAACAAAAATCAACATTAGAATTTCACAATACTTCAATTATAAAAGGTAGTGTAACAGTGCGACATCAAAAGGAAAGATATGTACAGGGGAACAACAACTTCCCGCAAAGCTGTTGGATGCGCTGAGGGGATATTTACAAGGGCATTATTATGAGGTTAACGTTCGCCGTGAGCTGGTATCTGTTAGTTTTGTCTTCGGTGCTGTCGTGGTGGTGTACAAATGGATTGAGGTAAGACCTAGCTGGTGTTTGGGGAAAGAGAGGTTTCGGAGTCACTGTACACGAAGCCCTTGGCAAGCATTTAAGTTTGACCCATCACACGGTCAAACTTTTCCTTATCGTTTGTTAGAAAGATGATAGTTCTTCACCAGCTGCTCGAAAAAGTTATGATAAAGGGTTTTTTTTTCTAGTTCTGTCGGGATTGTTCTAAATGATCTTGTAATTGCAAGTGTACAGGCCCTCTCCAATGAGTCTAATTTCTGCCTTGTCTTGACCAACTTCCCTGCTCTATCACCCCCATGCGCCAATACCATAAAGAATTCTCGGTATAATAACATTTTTGTAAATATCCCTCAGGGTAGAGCTTTTGTCAGACAGAGTGATCGGAGTAAAAGTATTTTTATAATAATTTAAATTTTTTTCTATTTTTCGTTGTATTGACTTCAAATGCTCTAAAAAATTCAACTTATCATCGATCACTACGCCCAGGTATTTAAAGGTATCACAAATTTCATTCTTTTTTGATCATATTTCAATCTCGGGGTTCTAGCATTTCTCTCTCCCCGAGGGAAAAACATACAATTTGTTTTTTTCAATATTAAATTCTATATTTTGCTCAGTACTCCATTTCTTAAAAACATTTTCAAGCAGTTTAAAAGTAGCCTCTATTTTTACGAGAGAGTCTCCTGTAATAGTTACCATAATATCATCGGCAAAAGGTAATATTCGTATCACGTACAATTTCTTGCAGTAATTTATTTGCTATGAGGCTCCAGAACAGGGAGCACTACATGAATCCTGGGAATAACCTTTTTCAATTTTATAATGAAGACTAATCAATCGTATTAGAGTTGCCCACAAAAATAATTCTCTCTTCTCCAGATAACTTTTAATTATTCAATAGATCTCTTGAGATGCCAATTTCTTTTAATATGACAGTAGGAGAACCAGTAATAGAGTCAAATGCCCCTCGGGCATCGAAGGAAGCCAGGCCTACATGCTTACTTTGTCGCTTTTCTGATTGTGGATCATACTGGATAATGCTAAATCAGTAGACATGTCTTTCGAAGCCTATTGATTGAACTGATAATTTATTTTTCGTTAAAAAATACTCAAGTTTTTTGTGATGAGGTTAAAGGATTTTCGCAGGGTCTTTAATAAGCCGAGGGTCTATGTCTACTGTAGATTAGGAACAAGAATCAATTTTCCAATTTTCCAAATATCAGGAAAAGTCGTTAAAATCATACATTTGTTGTAAAGTAATATATAAAAAGAAGTGAATTCCCCAAAAGGAATTCTAATTAAAGTAGTCCCGATTCCATCGCGTCCAGAGGCAATGCCATCTCTGAGGCTAGAAATAACATCAAATATCTCTTCATAAGGAAACGCCCACTCTACCTCCTTGTTGTCTTCTATAAAAATATTTCGATAATCAGGATAATTAGAACAATAATCCAGCCTCAGTGTGTCTTTAATCAACTCATCATAACATTCCATGGCAGTCGTGGATACACTACAATTATCTCTATGTAAAATAACTTTTTCCTTTCCTTTATTTGTGGCATATTTATAAAACTTGTCATAATAAATCTTGATTTTATTGAACAAATAATTTCGAAAGTCTCTTTTAGTCTTCTTAATTGTTTTTTTTTTAAAAAACTCTTTTGTAATTAATGTTCCAGTTATGAAACCCAGTTATGGAATTCACATATATATGGAACCAATATGGAGCTCAGTTCGACCCAGTTATGGAATTTCACATCGAAAGAGTATTACGACCTAAAGATAGCATAAGCAAAGTCATTATCTAAACAAAGAGAGTCAAAATGAATTGCTGCAAATTATTGGCAGTAGTATAATAGAGAAAATCTTACTATTTCTTCTAAAAGCCAAGTATTATTCTGTAATTTTAGATTGTACTTCCGATATTAGCAAAACTGAACACATGAATGTCGTCATACGTTTTGTCGTCTGCAATGATGAGTGGCAGAAATCAAGGAGCATTTTTTAGGCTTTATTAAAGTTGAAAATTCTACAAGTAATGGTCTGAACAGTAACAGTAATGGAAAAGTTGAAAATGTGGAACATTCCCCTTGATAATATGAGAGGCCAGGGATATGACAACGGCGCAAATATGAAGGGAAAGAAAAACTATCTTACACATAAAATCTTTAAAATAAATCGTCGCGCATTTTATGTTCCTTGCGCCGCTCATAGTTTAAATATAATGATTAACGATGCAGCAAAGGTGAATGCAGATACCTTTTTTTTTTTTTTTTTTTTTTGGCAATTCAAGAATTATACAATGTATTTTCTTCTTCTCCTAAGCGATGGTCAGTTCTTTTGAAAAGCATTTCCTGTTTAACTTAAAACCACTCCCAAACGCTCGATGGGAAAGTAAAATTGAAGCCATTCGACCTTTAAGATATCAACTAGGAGTAATCTATGACGCTCTTTTTAAAATATCCGAAGATGAATAAAGAAATGGCTACATGAAGCACAAAGTCTGTGTGTCAAAATCAAGGATTCTAAATTTGTTTGTTCCTTGACACTTTGGCATGATTTGCTTAACAGAATTAATCCTTCAGCAAAGAAGTGCAAGAAAAGGGTTTCAGTGTTGCACTGCCTTAAAGGAATAAGTAATTTAAAAAGATTTATTGAAGAATATAGAAGTGATATCAATTACAAAAGTATTTTTGAGAAATCCAAAGAAGTTAGTGAAGAAATGGATGGCGAGCCACAGTTTAAAACTGTTGAAAAAGTCCGACAAAGGAAAAAGAAATGTCACTTCTATTACGAACATGCTGACGAATCCCCTCAATCTCCAGAAGAGAAGTTTAATGCAAATGTCTTTTTTATAATTTTGGATATTGCTTGGACATCAATAAATGAAAGATTTAATGCAAATAAAAAATCACTGCGATAATTTTAGTTTTCTGGGTAATTTATCAGAAATCGATACTGCAAATTTGAAAATAAAATGCAGTAAATTAGAAAAGTTCTTACAGTATAATGAAAATAAAGATATTATCGCAGAAGACCTTTATGACGAAATAGTAGCTTCGAAAGACATCTTTACAGCCGGTATGAATGGCCCATTCGATACTCTGAACTTAATTGTCAAACAATTTATACTCTCCGAACTTGAAGATCATATTGAGAATACTACTTAGTAATCCTGTTAGTGTTGCTAGTAGCGAAAGCTCATTCTCCAAATTAAAATTGTTCAAGACATATTTACGATCAAATATATCGCAGGAAAGACTCATAAATCTAGCTTTTATTGCCACTGAAAACGAAATCTGTCAAGAGATAGATGCAAAAGAAATTATAGAAAAATTTGTAAATATGAAATGCACAAAAACAAATTATTCTCGATAAACTGTTGAAAAAAGTCAACAAATGTTTTCTTGAAAACGTCCTTCTCCTATACAAAAATTAAAAAAAAGGGGGGCGTGACTTCAGTTATTTTGCAGACGGGCGCTGGTTACATTATCAAATCTTTTTCACTCATTAAAAGGCAACATACCACTGCCACTGCCACTGTACCTCAATACCACTGCCTTTTGAATTATACCAAAACCGAGCAGCATTTTTTCTTGAGCTTCGTAGAGTTTCTATCAAAAACAATATTTCAATTAAATCAATTATTTCTCTTTCATCTGTAAATTTAGCATCTCTAATTCTGTCTAATCGGTACTGAATACTTAAATTTTTGTTGATTTCGTTATCATTCTTATAATAGGATTGGTTATGAATAACCGAATACATTCGATTTCTGATTTTGTTTGATGGGCATTTCCTTTAGGTCCAGGTAAATGTGTAATAATATTGTTTCTGCTCGTGCGGACTTGCACCATTTGGACTAATTTTGCTTCATTTCGTCACTGCATCCTTTCCGATGTAGTATTTACTGCGTATGCTCTCAACATGCATATCATTTACTTCTGATTCTAATATTTCTGTCTCCGATGTTTCTTCTTCTGTGTCTGAATTGTAGTCACTAATATTTACTATATCTTCTTCAATTTCCAGTGTATCCTCTTCAAATTCGTGCCCACTTTCTTCTATGTCATCTTCAGAGGACAGTTCTTGAATCCATCCAAACTTTCGGAATTCTCGACTTTTCAGTTCGGCGCCTTTTTGTCTGCGACATGCTTCTCATTGAAATCAGAAAAAAGAATTCACACTCACATATGTCAAAAACGTCAATTATCTCACATTATATACTATAAAACGCGAAGGAAAGAAATCAATAAAAATGCAACGCAATCAGGCGCATGTTCTAGAAACGTAGACCAACCAAATTCTTATCGAAATAAACCCCATGTACGCATCCATTGAGAAACGAAACGATACTGGTTGTGTAAAACAATACATTTCAAATAGTCACTGAGGAGGCAGCTCTTGATCCATAAGAAATTATGTTACTTAAAATATACCTGGTCTACGATCGTAGTCCACGCGCCTAACGGATGGTTAAGCGAACAAAATGACAATCATGCTCATCTGTGTAGCTGCGGAGCTACTGTACACACGTAAGCTGAAACTGTTGGCATCGGGTTGATAAAGTATTTATCCCTTCTTTTCCCGCCATAACTTCTGTGGTTGAAGTGCACGCGCAACGTAAATAGTACTGAAATTTTCCGACGCTGATGCCGTCCAGTCTGCATACAAAGTCTTCTTGAAAGGGGATGAAGTCCTCGAGAAAAAGTGCCCTGCAGTTCTTGTCATCTGTTGAATTATTTCATTGAAGAGGAGAATTTGGTTATTTCCCCTTTAGTCTAAGCCAGGGGTTCTCAATCTTTTGATTAGCGTGTACTATCTAAACAAAACTTTACAAACTTGAGTACCACCACTTCATTTTACAATGATTATTTTTCAATTTCTCAATAGAAATATTAAATATAATATTTACCATTTACATAACCATGACTATTTGTATAAGTAGCATACATAAAATATAGTTAAAAATTGTTAAATTTAATATTAAATTTAGTGTAATACTTTAATTCTAAAATTTAGTGCAAAATTTGGGCCTGTTTAAGAGAGATCAAAAGTCAGGATCAATATAGGGGATATATATATATATATATGTTTGGAGCAAACCATGATAGCAGAAATTCGATCTTCTTTCTATTTTGTGGGCAAATACTTGAAGGACCGAACAAGAACAAATGTTTCATTTTTCAAGATCTCTTGTGACAATTTTCTGTGCAGTGGCTTTTTGGTGTGACGCACATCAGCTGCCATTCGAAGAAACAGTTTTCCAACAACAATTGTCGAAAGTTTTCGATGTTTTCATCCTTTTGAAATTAAGAAGAGCTACCACTCCTGGTTCCTCATTATTAACATATTAGTGTCCATCAAGAAACTATCTACAACAATAAACACCATTGGCTCGTGTTAATGATTCCCGCATGCTTTACACAATACATCAGATATCGTTGTTGTTTTCCACACCCACCTTACAGCAAAACTTTATTCAGACACGTAGACGGGGAGAGAGGTAGGTGCATTAGGATAACGGGCACCCACCCACGTAGTTGAATTATGTCAACAAATGTAGCAATTTTAAAATCTTCTGTTGGATAAAAATTATAATATATATATATTAATATAGATATTAATTTAACTAAAGTAAAAAGAACAAACGAAAGACCCATGTGGTCAAAAACTTTGTCATTGTGCTGAAAATTTAGAAAAAGGTTAAAGAAAAATCCCAGTTCGTGCGCTAAAAAAGCACTAAATATGTGGTCCCGAAACTTAAAATAAGCAAAATAAGTTGCAATGAAATGTGTTATAAGAGAAAAAATACAACATTTGATTATTTATAAGTAAAAATCATCACTAATAGTAAGCAATATGCTAATCTAATTAAGGTATATTCCAACACTAGTAAAAGTATTAACAAATTAATCGAGCAAAAATATAAAAACTAAGAAGCGGTAAATGGCAGATTAGGCCAATTCGAATTTCATTAAGGCATATCAGCGGAAATATTATATATATATATGCATATATCTGATATAAATTGTTCTTTTGGCGGAAGATGAAAACAAATCACGTTTAGTCAAGGCCGGAAAAACTGCTGCGTAGATGACTGGACATTATGGCGTATTGAATGATCGGATGAAATTTTAGAAGCACGAGCAGCTTGATAGTTAAAATATTAATTCAGAAGTCAAACAACAAAA